AAGCCTATTATAAGAAAAACAAAAAAGTTGTTGAACTACATTTTCTGGACATTTACCGACCCTGCGGACTAATCTTCAATCTCATTTGATAAGGTGACTGGTGTAAAAATTTCAACTTTATAGCTTTTACGGTTTGGGCTGTGCGTTGCTCATCAGTCAATCAATCAGTCAGTCTGTACAATCGTATATATATATCTAGAGAAGAAGTAGCCAAAATGAGCCAGGCAGATGAAAATATTCAGCTTTATAGCTTATATTTCGTTGTTAGTCAATCTGTCAATCAGTAGGTCAATCAGTCAGTCAATCACTCAGTCTAAACAGTTTTTTATACATGGATAAAAGGCAGCCCTAATTAACCAAACATATGTAAGGAGTTAAGCGTTATGGCTTTCATCAGTCAATCAATTCATCAGTCAATCAGTCAGTCGTCTGTCCATCAGTCAGTCTGAACAAATAGTTTCATATAGAGGTAAGAAGCAGCCAAAATTAAATAAAAATGTGCAAAAATTCAACATTGTAGCTTCTATTTGGTCGCTTATCCATCAGCCAATCAGTTAGTCAATCAATCAGTAAGTTCTAACGAGAATTTTAATATATATGTAGAGATAAGAAGCAGCCAAAATGAACCAGTCATATGTAAAAGATTCAGCCTTATAGCTTCTATTTCGTTGCTCATCAATCAGTCAATCAGTGAGCCCATCAGTCAGTCAATCAGTCAATCTAAAGCAACGAATTCATATTCATAAAAAGCAGACACGATTAGCCAGATGTGTTTAGAGCAGTTTAATGAAGGTAAGTCAGGAAAAAAATTTATAAAAATATACTATAAAAGTGTTCCACTTATTTTCCACCCTTCTTGGCGGAAGTCATGAAAACGCCTTAACGAGGCAAGCAGAAAGAAAACTTATGTAAAATTGTAGAAAATTTAAGTTTTGCAGTGCCTAAATATAGAGTAACTTGTAGTCTACTCAAGTCTTTCTGAAATTTTCACGCAATTTTTATATATATGTATGCGAGAATATTTTGGTTGTTTTTCACATTCTTTTATATTTAGCTTTCGGTTGTTGACGTTTTTTCTCGTCGTGCATATATATTGTATGCTAGATTTTATATGTATTTGGTTTGTTTTTATGTGCTCACTCTTACTTTCGAATTTCATTTCGCTTTCAGCTTAGTGATAACAGATGTCTGGCCAAAGCTGGCGGCAACCGAACGGAACGGAACGGAAAGGAATGGAAAGGAATGGAACAGAACTGAACACGCGACGTGGGCCAAAACGGACACGTTGCGGTCGTAAATCTTGGCGTAGGCGCATTTGACACATGAATATATACTTATAATAAATGAGGTAGATATATATAAACATATGCTACTGTTTGATCAGCTAAATGTATTAATATTGGGCCGAGGGCAATGCTTTAAGCATTTCCAGTTTTCCATGCCGCATATTTCCCCTTATAAGCTAAAATATTCACATTTTTAATTTGTATTTATGTGTACAAAATTTTTTGAAAGGGCCTCGAAAGCATGACTGCAGAAAAAGAGGTTAGCGCGCTTTACTCGGGAGTATCCGACTAGGAGATACCCTAAACCTAGTATCTAGGCGCGTTTTCCATGTAGTTTTCCATGCGGCATATTTCCCTTTATAAGCTAAAATATTCACATTTTTAATTTGTATTTATGTGTACAAAATTTTTTGAAAGGGCCTCGAAAGCATGACTGCAGAAAAAGAGGTTAGCGCGCTTTACTCGAGAGTATCCGACTAGTAGATACCCTAAACCTAGTATCTAGCTGCCGTGATAAACATTCAAGATTCCTTCTATACACAAACAACACATACACAAGCACACACAAGCACACACAGGCAAACACACACACAAACGCACGTATATATACATACATATGAGAAATGCAGTGTTGATTAACTTCGGTGCTTATAGTCCGATTTTTACGATATTTTCTGTATAATATTTACATGAATTTTGACCAAAAAATATTTATTCAGATTTAAATGTCAAACTAGTCAAATCTAGAGGGAAAACTAGGAAGAAAACAGCTAATCTTTTGGAAATAAGTTGAGTTTTGACCGAGTTATGATAGTGGGAAATTTTTTGACCCATGCCCGAGACAGATTTTGGAGGGTATGATTTGAACATGAATTTCGCCTAAAAAATTTGTTGTCAGATTTGAATGCCGAATTAATCTAGAGGGAAAACCATGAAGAAAAAGCCAAACCTCATGGAAATCGGTTGAGTTTTGACCGAATTATGATAATGGGAAGTTTTGATCTATGTCTATATACGAATCTTAAGGGTAAGATTTAGACATGAATTTCGACTAAAAAATTTGTTGTCAGATTTAAATGCCAAATTATTCTAGAGGGAAAACCATGAAGAAAAAGCCAAACCTCGTGAAAATCGGATTAGATTTGACCGAATTATGATAGTGGGAAATTTTGCCCCATGTCCCGAGACAGATTTTGTAGGGTATAGTTTTTACATGAATTTCGACCAGAAAATTTGTTGTCAGATTTAAATGCCAAATTGAACTAGAGGGTAAACCCAGCACAAAAATGTAAACCTTTTGAAAATCGGTTGATTTTTGACCAAGTTATGATAATGGGAAATTTTGGCCCATTTCCATGTGAGATTTTTGAGGAAATATTTCATACATGAATTTTGACTGCCACACTATGGAAAATGCATTATTGATTAACTATATAGTATATAGCATGGGAAGGATGACAAGGAGTAGCTTTTCCCAAATATGCCCCATAAATATATAATTTGTATATGCGGGGGCGATATTAAGTTGTTTCTAGGCTAATTGAAAATGTGGGCGTACAAATGTGGGCGTGGCGAGCGAGGAAAAGGGAAAAACAATTACGCGGCAGCTTATGACTGTGGCAATAAGAAGGGGGTGGGGTTTTCCGCTGGGGAAAATGTTAAAAGAAAGCCGAGTGAAAGCCGCAAAGTGTTGCACGCGCCATTCGACATGTAAATTTTGCGGCCAGCCTTGAAGTATGCAACGTAATTTGTGAGCTGGACGCAAGTGCAAATGTTGCATGTGTGAGAAATTGCCAGCTGTGCGAGGGAGGGGCAGAGAGAGAGGGAGAGGGCAAAGGTCACTTTGCTGGGCCGGCCCGATCTGGAGACCCTTGAATTATGCAAAAAGGCAGCCGGAGGCGACCTTGAAGTGGGCGTAACACAAATTGCAGCGCGACTTTCTGCCACGCACACACACACACGACTTGTGGCGGCAAGGTGTGAAATTTCCCATTGTGTGATCGATAAACTGACCCCCCCTCCCCCGCTCCCCCGCTGTTCGTTCGCCGTGTAATATTATGATACGGACGGTTGTCCTTGAGCCGCAAAATTTACGACAAAATAAACAACTTGCCGAAGTCGAAGAAGAAGAAGAAGACGAAGACAACTGCCAGCTGAAGCGGGCAGAGATAAGCGCCAGGACACGACACCCTCCCCCCACCTCCCCCTCCCCCTCCCCCACAAAGATAAATTGCCTATAAAAGAAAAGTTGTTTTCAGAAAATGGGCAAATTCGAGTGAAAGGAAAAACACTTGCAAGAACCAAAATTGATTGCTCAACATTTAAACAAATTCTAATAAAAATACGTAAAGCGAAGTTTATTTCAATCAAAAAATGAAATATGATTTAACAAATTTTGTTATCTTTTATCATATATCTTAATTTTGGATTTTTCCAAATTTTCCAGATTTTCCAAGCAAACCTAGCTTTTATAAGCTTCAATATATTCCTATTGTATATTAGTATAAGTCGTAGAGGGTACAATTACTTCTCCCTTATTCGTTTATTTGTTACAGACTCTTTCTAAAAGCTTCTCCAATTTTCCAACACTCTTTTCTTGGTTATCGCACACTACTTAACAGCTAGTTAGCGACAGGGGGCGCAGCTTTAGCCTGCTACTTGTTCAAATTCTTCTTTAATATTCTTTAACTTGAGTTTTCATCTTCAAAATATTTAAAGGGTATTTAACTATCGATACTCCGCAGATAACACTTCCTTCCTTTACTTAACGGCTAGATAAAATTGAATTTTTTAGTTTCTAATACATAATTTTCTCGGAAAAACCACATTTATTTTCTCTTAACTTTTATTCAAACTGAATCGTATTATTTTATTCCAATGAATATTAACATATTTATTTAAAGCATAAATATATTATATATTTTTGCAAGCACTGGAAACTGTTTCAATTGATGAGCCCAGTGCCTGTTAAAAGTTGCACGTGTATGTGTGTGTGTGTGTGAAACATAAAAACGTTAAATGTAAAGCCGAAGCGATGCTGGCAGCGCTGCTCAAATGAGCTTTTCAATATTTACGCAGCGACTTGGCTTTAGCTGGCGCTAATCCCGACAGGCTGCTGCCTGCTGACTGCGCTGCCTGGCTGCTGCTTGGCAAACATTAGACTAGCTGCTAAGTGACTGCGCTGCCTGCTTTCTGCTGCTGCTGCCTGCTGCTGCTGCCTGCTGCTTGCCTAACATTCGACTAACTGCTGAGTGACTGCGCTGCCTGCTTTCTGCTGCCGCTGCCTGCTGCTTGCCAAACATTTGACTAACTGCTGAGTGACTGCGCTGCCTGCTTTCTGCTGCCGCTGCCTGCTGCTAGCCAAACATTTGACTAGCTGCTGAGTGACTGCGCTGACTGCGCTGCCTGGCTGACGCTTGCCAAACATTTTTGCATTGCAATTTGCTTGTTTGCGCTGCCTATTTGAAGGCACAGCTGCAGAGACGCCGACGCCGACGTCGACGCAGATGCTGGAGTGCGCAGCGAGCAGCGCAGCATTTGGCTGCCAGGAACCGTTAACTTTGGCTTTTGTGGGCATTTTTGGGGTTGTTTATGTTTTGCTTTGCTGCTTCGCTTGCTGTTGAGGTAGGATGCGTGTGTGTATAAGTATGTGTGTGTGTGTGTGTGTGTTGTTTCTAGGTGTGTCTGTGGCTGCAGCCAGTGTTGTATACTCACCTTTGACATGACATCTTTCGAGTGTTGTTCAACATTTTTGGTTACTGATTCGTTTTTGTTTTTGTTGATTTCAATTTTTGTTGTTTATTCGTTTATTAATTTTTGTTTGGTGTTTTGTTGTTTTTGCTTTTCGTTATTTGTTTGTTGTTGTATATTTAGTTACATTTATTACATTTTGTCTTGAACACTTTGTCTTTATCACTTTGTTTGGCTGCAACGGGGCGGAAAACTATCAAATGTCTAGGTGCGTGGGCATTATTTGCGATTAGGTCACACTGATTAGGGCGCTCGTAAATCAATCAAATAATATTTTAATGCATGCATTTAAATCAAATTTACTTAAACGATAAGTTAGGGCCTAAAACACAATTTAGATAAATGTTAAGGCGTGGCATTATAGGGTATTTGAAAGGAGCACACAGTGAGCGCTCGCTTGAACGAACAGCCACTGTCAGAACACTGACAAACACTGGACTTTTCTGTTAAATGTCTGTTAAAGATACTTTTCGTATGTTATTTAAAAGTGAACATATCCTCTTTTTGTTGAGGATGAACATTTATTTGAACCCTATAATGGACTTTTCAAAAACTTTTTGATTGGCTTTTTGTTGTGAATTTTTCATTTTAGTAAGTTTTTCTTCAGGAAACATTTAGAGAAAACAAATTGTTCTACATTATGAAGGGCATTGTTAGAAAAGAAAAGCTTGAAGAGATTGGGACCAACAAAATTTGCCAGCTAGAGCAAAAGTTTGGCCCCTAACTGAGATTTCACTGTCTTAACAATTAAACATTCGCGACTATTTCATATGTTCAACTACTTTTTTAATATTTTTCTGAATTTTAACAATTTTTCTTTTTTTTTAATATTGGTTTTAATATTTTTTTTTTATTTTATATATTTTTTATCTATATTTCTTTTTTTATTTAATATATGTTTTTACTTAATATTTTATGCGTAAACGTTTTCTTTATAATTTTTAATATTATCTTTTGCTATTGTTAAAATTGCATTTTACTTTTCTATACACTTTTGAACATAAGAATATGTTAACCTAAAACATTTTCTTTCTGATATGTAATATATTTCTATATATATATGTATATATTTCTTAAAATTTTTCTTTTTTACTTTATTCATTTTTTTATTTTCTTAAATTTTTGGTACTCAACTTTGAATATTTCTTTAATTTAATTCTTTTCTTTTAATTTCTTAAGACTTTTCATTCAATAATATTTAATGCTTCAGGGTTTTCTTTATAAATTGTCGTGCTTTTTGTGTTAATGAATTCATTTTTGCATTTTTCAATTTCCGCATAATTCTCGTTCCGCATAGTTTTCGCGCACTTGCCACACGTGCTGCCTGGCATTGATGTTGCCTCCAATGTTTTTGGGGCACATGCCACACTTTTCTTTTTCTTTTACTTGTTGGCTTTTCTTTTGCTAGCTGCTGCTTAGCCTTCAACACACATACACACACACACACACACACGCATATATAAAGAGGCTTACACACACACACACACACATGCACACGCAATGTCTGTGTGTGACATGTGCGCAGGTGTGCGCCCTGATTTTTTGTTCGTTTTCAATTATTCACAAGTTAATTAAATAAATTTGCATAATTTGACTAGCTGCAAACTTGGAAATTGTTATCAATTTTGCGCTTTTCTTTTCTTTTATTTGTTTTTTTTTTTTTAATATTTTGCTTGCCCGTTTTTCGAACGTTGACACATAAAATGAAAAGGGGAAATTAAAGTGAAAAAACTTTTGGCCAAAAGCGGAACAGAAAGAACAGAAAATTTTGTTTGCTGGCCGCGCGTGTATGTGTGTGAGTGTGAGTGTGTGTGTGTCTGACTGTTTCCAACAACCACTGAACGCGCCCGCGCTGCTGCTACTGCTGCTGCTGCTGCTGCTGCTGCTGCTCGATGCGTGCGTACGTGCGACGCGCTGACTGTCTGACTGGCGACTGGGCCAACGAATCGAACATCAATTGGACTAACGCCCCGAGAGAGCGAGCGAGCAAAAGAGAGAGAGAGAGCGAAAGCTGGAACGCGCGCCTGCAATAATACGCAACAGGAAAAAGAGAGAGAGAGAGAGAGAGAGAGAGAGCCAGCCCGCGGCGAGCTTTCGCCTAGTTTTATCGGCGACGCTTTTTCGCCGAGCTTTTGACGCACATGGCATTTGTTTATATTTGTTGTGCCTTCCAGTCGCCTGCTGGAAGCGGCGGCCAGTCGACGCGCCGTTATAAATAGCATTGCATATTTTTAGGCCGCATCAGTTGTACGCGCAAGTTGTGCGCATGAACTGTTCTAGTAGAAGAGTAGAAGAAGAAGAAGGAGAAGCACGCGTTTTTGTGGTCTGTCTTTAATTTTGTATTCGTTTCAACACGATGCTGGATTAAAAGAGGAAGGGCATGGGCGGGTCTATCAAATTTACAGTAGTGTTTTGCGCTCGCATGGGGTTGTCGATAATTTGAACAAAAAAAAAAAAAAGTAAAAGAAAAGAAATTAGAAAGCCGACACAAGCTTTTCTCACTCAATCCTCTGCGCCGTTTGCCTCGTTGCCAGTGTGACCAATGTTGAGCGCCATTTCGGCCTGCGAGTGCCGCAACGGATACAGATGGTCCATGTGATCGATGAACGGTCGCACTCCCTCCGGATTCTTCATGTACTTGGCCACACTGAGAATGATGTGACGATAGATCTGATGATCCCGGTAGGCAGCATTCGGGCGTCGCTTCTGCGGTGGTCTATTAAAAAAAACGAGCAGTTAATGGGCAGTGAAATAAACATTTCATTCGAACTGCACTTTGGAATTCCAAATAGAAGTATTATTGTTTCAATCGAATTTGTTAAGTGGAGCACGTAACCACAGAATATGTATTGTAATTGGATTTTATATATGTATATATATATAGGTATTTTCCTTGACTGGCTGACAGACTAATGCGACATTTCACGTGAAAATGTGAAAAAGTGTTTGGAAAACGAATGTATGAAATAATTTTCATAGATAAATCTGACATGTTACTGACGTGGTTCGCACTTTTCTGAAAGGTCCACTGGGTAGAAGATTGAGAAATATTTTGTTAAATACCGCCCTTCTCTGCGATTCTCTGAGATGCTTGGGTATTCAATTAAGCATATATTATAGATAATATATCATATCAGAAGGACTGAAAATATTGCAGTACTGCAAATTGAATTCAAGCGTATTTTTAAATACCGCCCTACTCAGCGATTCTCATGAATTCAAGTAGGGAATTGTATCATATTATATCATTTCCAAAAGCCATTTATAGTTGCAAAACTATTAGATTATCGAAGTATCGAAGTTTACAGACTAATTTAGCTTCCCTTTTAAATAACCTCCGCAAACGTATATATATAAGCCGCCCTACTCTGCGATTCTCACGAATTCATGTAAGAAATCATATATTATGGACAAATTATGCCCATTTATAGCACATCACATTTCTTTCATATCGCCTTACTCTGCGATTCTCATGACTTTATGTTGGTTACCATATATTATTGTATATAAACTTATGCACATTTCTATTATTCCCTTTGTATTTCTGGGCTTCCGAACTTACCGTTCCTGGGCGCGCTGAACGACGCGTCTCCGTCGAACAATCTCAGTTCTCCGGCAGCTCTCGCAGTAGGCGAAGTAGCCGCAAATGGAGATGACTATGACGGCGATGGTGTAAATCAACCAGCTCCAACCGAGGAAGCTGCAACACAGCCACAAATTAGTCCACAACATATCTCTCTCTCGTTCACTCTCTCACTCTCTCACTCTCACTCTGTGCTTACGTCACAAATGTTGCATTCAAATCCTTCCAGATCTGCGAGACATTCTCGCGCTGGTTCCTCTTCGCCTCGTTCCTCCAGAAGGTAAACGAGAACATGGTTTTTTTTGTGGTTATTTTTTTGGATTAATTTTTGCCTACAACAAATGTGTGTCAAGAAATTTTTGTTTATTGCCAAGATGTGTTTATTTGCTGTCCGTAAACTCTATACAAATCGAAGCCGCATCGAGCACACCAAAGCAAAGCCAGCTCCGTTTGGCAAGTTATGACAATCGGAGTTTTCCAAATGAACCGGTTCAAAGCAGGAATTATGATTCCCAAAAATACCCTCAAAAGTTTCATTTTGTTAAGAACTCTAGTTGCAACCCGGGAGCTCGAACCCCGAGTTATATCAATCGGAGTTCTTAAAATGAACCAGTTCGCAGCAGGAATTAAAATTAAAAAAAAAAACCGAAACATTTTTTGTTTGTGTTAAATTCTACTGGCAAACCGGGAGCTCGAATATCGAGTTGTATCAATCGGAGTTTTTCAAATGAACCGGTTCGCAGCAGGAATTATAATTTCCAAAAAGAAAACCTTAACAGTTTCTATATGTTTAAAATTCCAGTTGCGAACCGTGAGCTCGAACCGCGAGTTATTTCAATCGGAGTTTTCCAAACGAACCGGTTCAATCGTAGTTTTCCCAAATAAACCGGTTCGCAGCAGCAATTCCAATTCCGAAAACGAAAACGCAACAGTTTCTGTTTGTTTAGAATTCCAGTTGCGAACCGGGAATATTTTTTCTACTTTTCTAGTCATGATTAATGTGTAGAGACTTAATTAGATGTTTTGTCAAGCGAGTATCGTGCTTATCCTTAACAACCAGGAAGTTGTTTTATGCATTTGCTTAATAAGGCGCCAAGGCCACGACGATCAGTGATCAGTGATCAGTTGCTCAGTCGCTCAGTTGATCAGTTGATCAATGATCAGTTGATCGCTGCGACTAATGCAAACAAATCGAAGTTGAGTTTCGCATTGTCGTCTCTCGCCAATTGGCAAATTGGCGGATTGGCGAATTCGTGCGCTTCCGTCAATGTCGCATCTGTCTGGGAAAGCGTGATCAAATAAATTATTATCTGCGGCTCTGGGCCGCAGCAGCTGACGCAGCTGGTGTCAAAAGATCTTTGACAATTTGCTGGACACATGCGCTCGATTTATGGCCATGTCTTTCGGCCTGATCGCCGCAGACAGCCAGGGGGAAGGGGGGTGGTCGGAGGAGGGGGCGAGGCCCCATATGACATTGCATATTGCTCCGAATTGGCGGCCCAGCCCACAAAAAAACAAACTGGGCCTGCATGACGGGGCAAACAAAACAAGCAAATTGCAAAGGCAAACAACGTCGGCTCCATAATGAAACGATCCTAACTCTCCAATCTGCTGACACATGGCAGCCAGCCCCCCCCCCCCTCCCATCCCCCTCTCCCACACAACTCCAATCGAAGTTCTAACTCTTGTAATAATATTCGTATATACTCTGTTCGAAGAGCGAAAACGGAGTGCATTAGTTCCTACAGTTTAAGAGCCTGGTTTTGGGTGAGCCCCATTAAAAGTCTCGCCAGAAACATTATTCATATTAAGACAGCCTCTAGAGTTATATTATTTACAGTTTAAGAGCAATCACTTACAGTTTGAGAGTAAATAATAATGGTATATTTAATAGTTGTAATTAATTCACAGTCTTCTTAACACATGAAAGTGGGCAAATATCATGTTTCATACAGCTTTGCAGTCATTGCTAGACATCGACAGTTTTAGCGTCATCGCTGACAGTTTGATAGTGAACAAAATTGATATATCTACTAGTTGGATTTAATTCAAAGTGTTCTGAGCATACGGAAAGAGGCAAACACCAGTTTTCCTATATTTTTAAAGTCACAGCTACTATTCTACAGTTTTAGAGTCTGTTTAGTGTATTTGGTTTGACCTTATCTAAAAGTCGGTCCCTAACTTTATCAGAGCACAGTGCCAGATATAAATTTACAGTTTGACAGTCACAAACTTCGGGCTAATTTACCTCTTTGGGTGGCCTTTACCTCTACCGTTTTAGAGTCACCGTTAGCTTGAACTATTAATGATACTACAGTGAATATAAAATTACGTCATCAACTTTGGGCTACTCCTTTAGGGTAATCTATATATTTACAGTTTAAGAGTCACCACATTACTGATTACTAACAGTTTGACAGCCACAAACCTTGAGCTAATAACTGTGGCTAATATTCTACAGTTTTAAGGTCATCATTAATTTAAACAACCAATAATTGTATATTAAGTAAAAATGTACAGTTTGACAGTCACAAGCCGGGACATTGATTTTGATTCTACAGTTTTAGGGCCACCTAATTAAAGAGTAATAACTGTTCATTCCTTGAAAGATTGAAGCAAACAAAATGTTTCCCTGTTGTATTTTAGTTTTTATGCAAATACAGAGTATTGCACAGTCGGCATATTTCAACTGCTGCAACGCCTTAAAGTGTTTTTCTATGTTAATTTTCATGTTAATTTTTTATTTATTTTCTATTTATTGAATTCTTATCTAATAACAAATGAAGTTTTCAGCAATGAAAACACAGTTGAGAGCATTTTGCAGAGCGCTTAAAAAATGTGTACAAATAAATGTGTGAGGGGGGGTTGGAGAGGGGGGGGGGAAGAAGTTGTGTGACAAACGGCAGGTCAAAGTGTGAATACCCCGAGATAGAGTGGCAGCTAGATTTGAAGAAGATCTCTGAAGATTGTCTTGTATATGGCGTGTTGCTTTTTCACAGATTCGATTCGATTGCCACTTAAAAAAGTTGCCCATTTTATTTTATTTTTTTCTCTCGCCTTCGTCAAATGGCTGTCAAATTAACTAAATATGTTTACTATAGATGTGGCAAACGTTGGCGGGGGCAGGGGCAGGGGGGGGGGAGGGGGGGACAACCAACACGAAATGCAAATGAACTGTTATCAGCCTCCCTCTCTCTCTCTCTCTCTGTTATCAGGTTTTAGCGCCCGTTTTGATTAGCTTTGCCGCGTGGGTGTTCCCACTCAATAAGCGGCAGCTAATGGCCCAATAAATGCGGCTTAAACGCATTGCACATCTGGCAAAAGTCATTGACAACCCTAGGGGGAGGGGGGGGGGACGGGTGGACGGGGGGACAGTCTTGTTGACAGCCGCGCAGTCGATGTCGCCGCCGCAATTGGGCAAGGGCAGCAAACGAGTTCTTGCGGCAACTTCTTCTTTTTCTGTGCAAGATCAGCTCGAGACGGCATAGTCAAGCACAAATATTTAAGTTAACAACTCGCCACCGAAGAACACACAGAGCCATAAAAAGCAGCAACAACAACAACAACAACAACAACTCTCATCTATGTGCTCGCTGCAGCTAGCTTGCGGGGGCGCAACGTCGAAAGAAAAACAAACAAGCGCGCAGAGTTTTCTACTCTGTGCCGAAGTCTGTATACGCTTACAATGCAAGCATGATTCAAATGTTAAAAAGAGGAGATCTATATCTGACATGCATTATGATACATTTATGAAAATTTATAATAAATGTTGGGCAAATTTACGCTGAACGTTAAATATCAAGCATTTTGTAATTGAATCAACTAAAGTTTGTCTTTTGGCTTGCGCGAGAACTACATAAATCGAGATGTTAATAATTTGATATGTACATTCTCATAGTGTAGTCACATATTCTAAATATTCCACACATTTTTATAGCTTTAGCCTTGGCCCTTGGGTATATGCGCACTTTTTTATGTAATGTTTAAGCCCTTCAAATTTCATAGAGATCGGACTATAAACAAAAGAGTTAATTAAGTTTATATATTCTAAGCGCGTGTACGTTTAGAAAGAACTAAGTTGTTGTGTCGTTAGCTAGGGGCTGCGCTTAGGGTATCTTATAGTCTGTCAATCCCAACTAAAGCACTCTGACTTGTTTTTATGTTTTGTTGCCTAATTTCAGTCATTTCAAGCACGAATCTCAAGTTAAGATCGCCAATACTTGAACAATCTTAAGATTTGCCATATACATATATCTACTCAGTTCGTTAAAAAACTCCATTTCCGGTGGGAATTCTTGTAGCAGCTATTTATTAGAGTACAAACTAGTTGATACTATTGCGATGCTTATTTTGACCGATTTGGCTTATGGGATATATATACGCTTATATTGAGTTCCATACCCTTCAAATATCTTGAAGAACAAAAAAGTTTATGCTTAATAGAAAAAATGTATGCATGTGTTATACATTGCATGAACAAATTTGAGTACACACTGTAAGAGTATAAAAAGAGCTGCAATTCAGTCGCAGCAGTAGAAGAAGCAGCAGCAGCCGAAGCAGCAGCAGCCGAAACAGCAGCAGCAGAGGCAGAAGCAGCAGCAGCCAGCAATGCAGTTGCTGTCGCATTCTCAGTCGACGTTGCCGACGCCGACGTCGACGCACAGCCAACAACTAAGCGAAGGCAAAGTCAGCGGTCAGTCAGACGCCGACGCCGCCGACAGCGCCTCATCGAACAAAGAAAGCGAACTTGTTCTGCGAGTGGCCAAATTTGTATTCGGCCGACGAGCCGAAACGGTTCGGCTTAGCGCGCGAGCAGCGAGCAGCGCGCAGCGCGCAACTGGACTCGCACTTTCGGTTTCTCTCGTGCCCGATCGCAGTTCGTCTCGGGACTTCTAAGCGAACAGTTGTTGCTAGCTGCGCCGCAAGCAAATAACGTGATTCGGAACCGGATCAAATATCACGCAACGAACGTGATCAGTGAACGGCTGGAAAATCACTTGAAAGATTTTTACGGTTTTTTCGGTTTGCCATACGGAAGCAGCTGGAGCAGCTAAATATTTATACAATCCTCAACGTCTATATATATTTGCATACGGTTCAGGCATATATATAATTTATTACACAAGCAAATGCCGCGTATCTGCTTAATGTCAGCGCGAAAAAATTGAATTTAATTGTTTGTGACTGCAAATTTGACATAATTCGCGTGTTTGATTTATATCGCCGGGCTCTTCCTCAAGTTGACTCCAAAAACGCGGCTGCTTATCGCAAAGTAAATATATACATATATATATAAATATATTTACCATATTTAGCTGCTATAATAAGAACTTGGCCAGTTGTAAGTTAAATGCAAATTCATGTTAATCGCAATTAATTGCAATTATTTATAAATTGACGTGCGACACTTCCTAGTCGGATAGTGTGGCACGATTACATTCATCTTGCTCAAAGATCTGACAAGAAACGCTCCGTTATGTTTTAGTCCAATCCAATCAAATCAAGCTAGTATTAGTTACTATTTATTAGTACTTATTATAGAAAAAAGACATATCTATGGGCTTATATAATTAGTTCATTAGTTAAATAGTTATATACTTATTTATATTATCTATATCTTTATATAAAACTATACCCATATTTTTCTACACCTATCTATCCTATATCCCTGATGGATCAGGTCTGCAACCGCAACAAGTATAGTCGCTGGTTCAAATCACGGTTCAAATTAGTTGCAGGTCCTTGGGTTCAATTCGTGAAGCTGATGTTCCGCATGCTTTAAGCCAGTTTCTGGTTCAAACCTTGTTGACTTTTAAATTCTCTAAATATGCTTGAAGGAATTATCTTTTAATATTATAAACATTTATATTATAAATTGCCTGTTGTACGGAAAATATAGCAATTCGTATATATTTTCTTATACAAAAAACAGGCTAGATTTGAGCTCTACCTGAAATTGGCTTCAAAGACAGATGATTAGATAGTTCCAATTTTTTGGGGCTTTAGAGCTGGGACTCTCTACAGAGATATAAATATTCAACTAAACCATTTTTGAAGAAAAATATGGCTTGGTTCGGATTTTGATTCAGTTGTTTTTGGACTTAGTTTGGTTCAAAGCTTTTTTTATAATAAAATCCTTAAATATCTATATCCTATATCCTATATCCTATATCCTATATCCTATATCCTATATCCTATATCTATATCTATATCTATATCTATATCTATATCTATATCTATATCTATATCTATATCTATATCTATATCTATATCTATATCTATATCTATATCTATATCTATATCTATATCTATATCTATATCTATATCTATATCTATATCTATATCTATATCTATATCTATATCTATATCTATATCTATATCTATATCTATATCTATATCTATATCTATATCTATATGTATATCTATATCTATATCTATATCTATATCTGTATCTGTATCTGTATCTGTATCTATATCTGTATCTGTATCTGTATCTATATCTATATCTATATCGATTAGGTTAAAAATTTAGTTACTTAGTTTAAGTTTGAATAGTTTGAGCTAGTAAACGTTTCCTGCTAACATTTTTAGACCAGTTGGGAATTTTAACAATCTTTTGCAGGTGCCAAAATTGCATTTCAGTTTCACTAAATTATGACGTGTGTGAGGAAATAGTTGAAAACAAATTGTTGTCGTCTTCCGATTGTACAAATACGTATCCTAGAATTTCCGTTGCGCATTGAGATAAAACAATTGTGACATTGTCACGATCGGCACAAATTTGATCGTGCTGCAAATGGAAATGAAATAAAAAATATTTTCGCATGACTTGCGCAATTGGCGCCAGAATATATATCTGTTTATATGTATGCATACATATTGTATATATGTATATATGCATATATATTCCACTCAATGTCTAGTCTAAATCAGTTTTGTGTAAGGCGCATGTTAAATTCGCAGCGCTGTGGCCATAATTTTCCGTTCTGGGATTGTTTTTTTATTTTCTTGTTGTTTTTCTAATTAGCCAAAGTCATTTGCATGAATAACGCAGCTAACGGTAAATGGGGTTTATGTCTTTTGTCTGCAACAGACTCCGACTCTCTGGGTCAGACAACAAAGACACACGACTCGGACTCAAACTCGAACTCGAATTCGAACTGGGACTGCGACTGCGACGGGGACTCGAACGGGAACGGGGACTCGAACTGCGACTGAAACTGAGGTAGGAGCTGATGCTGCTGGCCATGTATGGGCTTTAGTGCGTGGGCGTGACCAACGCCCCTTTTACAACTGGCAAGCAATTAGCAAAAGACATCGGACGGGCAGCGTCTACAAAATACTTGTTACAACTCGAGTTGTTTTTTTTTTTGAATACCCTGTACCCATTCAAAAGGAAGGGTTGTTTAAAGTTTTTACAGGCTTTACGATTCCATAAAGTTTTTACAACAAGAAATTGTTTTAACAAGGGCAATAACTTATATTTAACAGATTACCAGCTTCTTCAAGGGTTAACATATCTTCTTCATATCATATTCTTGATCAGGACGAAGATCTGCGGCGATCTAGCCCCGATCGTCTGTCTGTTTTAATATATAAGCGCTTTGCTTCCGAAATTTATGCAAGTTATAGACTTGAAATATGCAGCACGAGCCTCTCTCATTTCGATAACTTCTCCCATTTTCATCATATCGATAAATATTGATTTTGGATTATGGTTTTCTTAACATAACTCGAAGTTTATAAGATCTACATGCATTAAACTTGGTATAAAAGTGCTCGGATAAAGATCTAATAATTTTTTAAGTACTTCTCCCGACTTTCCCCCAAAATTGCAAAAAACTCCTATTTAGAGTTTAAGCTTGGGACTTTTGTATGTACACACTTTTGTTTGCCAAATTTAAGCCCTGAAAATTTCATAAAGATCGGACTCTAAACACCGAAGTTAAACGAGAATGTATTTCTCAAGCATAGTGTTGGGCAACGCACAGAAGAGGCACAGCTGCTGCGGCTTAAAGTGTTTGCAAACGGTCGCACGCCACAGTTTACAGGCTAACTGCTAGTCGGGCATGCCCGACTGGGCCACTCTCACTTTTTTCTCGTGTTGGCTTTTTGCAATTGTTATTCAAATCGAAGTTTTGCATTTGAAGTTGAACTTGTTGAGTTGAAGTCGAGTCGTTATGTTATGTTTGTTATTTGTTAAAGGTTTTTCTTGTTGTTGTTGTTGCTGTTGCTGTTGTTGTTGTTGTTGTTGTTGTTGTTGTAGCTGGGTGCCAAAATGTCAAACTGTCCGCGGCGGAACATGTTGCGCATAGTTTTCTTTTGACTTTGAGAAAACACAAGGCGCAAGACTTGAAACACATTCCATTAATTGGACCGAGTGTAAAGTGTAAACAAAATGCCTGCCATCGATCGTACGCAGTTTGAAGCCCCCGACCCCGCCCCCTCCTTCAATCTCCACACACCTACCGCCCCCTTCCCTGCCCCACTCTCCCTTGCTGCCCCCAGGCAGAGGCAGCCAGTTTGTTGATCTTGCTAAAAAAAAAAACACATACAAAAATAATAAATAATAAAATAAAATAAAATACAAATGTCAAAAATAAACGAGACACAAACCGACGCATTGTCAATGAAGCACAATAAAATGAAATTAAATCAAGAGAAATAATATTAAACTAAATTATAAATATAAAAATAATATATTTAATGCTGATTTTGGCGAACTTTCCGTCTTTATAATATAATTTATGCAATAAAATAAAAAATACACAATATTAAATAAAAAAGAAAAAATTATATAATGTTATAAAATATTTAAATATATTTAAAGTAATATAATATAATAAATATTTATTTTCCATTAAAAATGAGAAGATCACCA